GTGTAACGAATCTTCCTCTTCTCTCAGGTAGCTCCTTGTTCCTCCCCGGGCCTCGTCACTGTGGCGACTGTTTGCAGCATGTTTCATCCCAGAAGACACGTCTCCCATAGCAATGAAAAAGGAAAGACTGTTTAGACTGACTTGTACAAGACGAGAACAGAACAAACAAAAGACACATTTTGATCACAAAGGAAAGACAGATTACAGTGACACAGCAGAGTAAAAAGAGAACTGACAAACAGAAATTACATTTTATTAGGCAGCACCTAGTGGTTAGCATTTTAACTAAAGAAATAATTTAAAGCACACATTTGTATATTGCAATAAACATACAAGTACATTAAATTCACAGACCTAAACACTGCAAATAATTTGTGTACATCCTGTGCTGATCATTGGTTCCTTGTCATTAGGTTGACTTGATGCTGACCTGCATAATATCACTGCGACAAAACATCAGAAGGCCTCTTTTTAAAGAACTAATTTAAAAATAAAACATTATGTGCACAGGTACATTATTTTACTAAAATCTTCAAGAACCACTGAATAAAGCTCAGTTAAGATTGTTGTGTTGAAACAGAACATCTCTCTCTCTCTCTCTCTCTCTCTCTCTCTCTCTCTCTCTCTCTCTCTCTCTCTCTCGACTGTTGTGACTCTGTGGCGACACCAGCTGGTTTAAACACAACATCACTCAACATCTTTTATTCAGACTGGAAACTGCACATTTAAAACTAAATCCTTTTGATAAGCCTATCCATTGAATTCACATGATATGGAAAAACAAAAAAGTTAAACTCAGGTTTGTTTTTAAATTAAATAAAAAYTCCTGACTTGTACCTCGGTTTTTCAAGAASAGCYTTYCCCCCGAAAGCCATCACSTTCCTGAACACTCACATACACTTACTCTTGTTTTACAATCAATGAAGGAACTCACCTACTGTGAAATAAATACATCTGTGGGACACATGTCACTTTATTTTGTAATGATCACCTGCAATACCAGCATAATCCATATACCTCAATATRCAAAATGTGCAATAWTTAAACAATGTGCAAAAATGTCTTTTAACTTTCTTTTAATTCAGTTTCACATTTACAACCAACACTCATTGTGCTTTTTAATGTGCTTTTTAATTGTTGTGGATATGTGTGTGTGTATACAGCGGGTAAAATAAGACTTGAACACGTCAACATTTTTCTTAGTAAATATATTACTAG